GGCAACCGCCTTGATGCATGCAGCTCTGAATGGCCACTTGGAAGTGGTGCGGTTGTTGCTCGAGGCTGGAGCTGACCAGAACACAGCAAATCGAGACCGTCAAGACGTGGCAACCGCCTTGATCCTTGCAGCTCAGAATGGCCACTTGGAAGTGGTGCGGGTGTTGCTCGAGGCTGGAGCTGACCAGAACACAACAGATCAAGATGGGACAACCGCCTTGTCCGTATTGTCATGAGCCCGTGGTCCCTTCCATCGATCATGTGCTGTGGGTGTCTGCGCTGCGGGTGCTGCCGCGTCCTGTTTCCGACTTTGCTGCACGTTTTGGGTGGGGCCCTGGGATGACTCTCGACTCTTGTTGGGACCTTCTTCAACAAATGGGAAACATCCGACACGAAGAGCACACGTTACGGCGTAGAACCCTGCAGGCAGCTTGTACTCTCCCTGAGGACTCTGCCTAGCGAGTGGCTTTGCGTGTCCTTAACCCGCGACAGGTTGGGACACTCGCAGCGCTACCCCCCCTTGCAGCTCAGAATGGCCACTTGGAAGTGGTGCGGGTGTTGCTCGAGGCTGGAGCTGACCCCGAAGGCAGCAGCTCAAGGCTTCATGGTTGCTGGGAATGGCCACTTGGAAGTGGTGCGGGTGTTGCTCGAGGCTGGAGCTGACCCGAAGGCAGCTCAAGGGGGGCAACCGCCTTGATGGTTGCAGCTGGGAATGGCTAGCCGGAAGTGCTATGCAGCTGTTGCTTGAGGGTGGAGATCGCACCTTCCGCACGGAGAGACTCCGCAATGAGACTCCTCCAGATCCGGGTCGTGATCGGCCGGACCGCTCGCGATCGCGATAGACCAAAAACATATTTATGCATATTATCTTTATTTAAGTATATATATAGAGAGATTTAAGTCTAAATACCTAGAGAGAGGGACAACCTTGGGAGTTGATCAACAAGCAATACATTTGATGAAATTATGCATCCTTTTGGTCGACTCAGTCATCCAGCAGGAGGAGTTTTGGAAACCTGTTGGTGTTACTGGGACAATGACATAGTCCCCAATGTCATTCAACTAACGTGGAGTGGGACCAAGCAAGAAAAGATGTTCGTGCAAAACCAAAAGTCAAAATCTCAGGGCCTTCAAAGCTTTGCACAGCTTTTGGCTGCGACAGATCTCCAGAGGCTTTTTTGGATGGCTCCCACAACGACTCCCTCCCACTAAGGATACTTTGACCAGGTGATCTCGGCAAAACATGTTGAGGTACAACAAGACAGAAAGGGACATATATTGGATATGGACCTCACACAAATGTTAATTTTACGACTGAGAATTCTAGATAGGCAGCTAAAGCCACCCGATGCTGCAAGCTTTGATGTATGCTTTTTGATTGTGATGGTAGAGGGCAAGTTCATAAACTTGGCTTGGGAGGTTTGTGTGCCATCCTTCCCTGAGGCGGGTGACGCAGCAGCAGAGATGGATGTTGCCGAAGGCTGGAATGCATTAGTTGTCCCAAGGCGATTCGACAACCTGACTCTGCTGAAACAGGGTTTGAACACACCCTCCCTACCCCTCAAAACAGTGGAATTTTGTGGGCAACTTACCTTGTCATGACACTTTGTGTAAATCCACGCATCCTGGATAAAACAAACACTGATAAACACTGTATCCTCATGGTAGTTCAGCAGCCATGTCTTGCAATTCATTGCCTTTCCAGAGAACATGTTGGTAGGTCTTATGCTTTGTGATGTCAAGTCAGGGAACCGTTTTCGTAAGAGAAACATTTGGCAGAGGAAAGCATGATCAGGCTGACGGACGATCATTTCGCTCGCTAGAAACATGTTGTAGAGGTGTGGGGGCGCTCTACAAAATGAAACCCACAACTCTAAGGTTTTGAGATTCAGATCGCATGAAGCTGGGGAAATTCATGGACATTCATGTTGTAGGGAGCCAGGGAGCCACAATCATCCACAGTCCAAGTCCAAGCGCATTTTTTTGTACCTTCTCACTTTGCAGTCGGGAACACAAAGATTTTACGAGTTTCCTTTTGTTGTGCAAAATCTGCTGGTCTACTTTTTATTGTATCTACCAATTGCTGCCTGCCGCAGCAGCAGTGAAGTGTCCACGATGATGAGGAAGGTATATTCAACACATTTCTACGGTTTGACTCTCATCCATGATTCGAGGTCTTGGACTTTGGCATGATCCAGTCAGTCCACACAGGACGAAGAGTACATCCCTTCAATCCGGCCAGTCCATTTGACCGTCTATGGTTAGTGCAAGAGAAATTGGGCTGAGGAGTGCTGCAAAAGATAGGCTTTCCAGTGCCAGCACAGATTGAACGGTGAAAATGCATTGCTGGCGAAATCAGTGTCCACAATTTCACCGTACACAGATTACATCGATTACACCGGCTACACCGACCACACCGGTTACACCGAGGACACCGAGTGCATTGATTACACCGGCTACACCGATTACACCGATGACGCCGTCCTCAGCAGCGTAACTAACACAACCAACGCAACCAGCGTAACCAGCCGAACCGGCGCAACCAGCGCGACCGCAGCGACCCTGGTAAACCAGTGTACCAGCGTACGATCGTGCGCGGACACGCTTTGCCATGTCGCCTGACAATAATTCAATAACTGCATCATAATATCATAGCATATCATATCACAGAACTTAACTTTCCCAGGCTGGCCCTTTTGCGAACCCTGCTCTATGCTTGTTTATTTGTTGCTTTGTTTTAATCTTGAACACCCATAAGTATCTCACCCTCATTAGTCGGCATTATATATCTTGTTGTGAAGGACGAGAAGCCAAAGTCGCAGAAGTAGTGAAGGCCTGGAACAGCATTATGACCCTGTCGCGTTGGTGGAAAGAAACAAAAATTGATTTGCTGTGAATTGAGTGTAGGTGTATGCTTTGCATTGGTCAAGTTCTTCTCCCTACCTTGTGTAAGTGTATGATTCACAACACCTTGCCTTTTTTCATTTTGAGACCGTCACAGCGGCATGCGATGGCAGATGGCAGGTAGCATCACCGACCAAGTGACAGCATTCTCAAGGCCCAGCACACCTCCAGTCGTGCGCATCTCAGCTTTTGCCGGCTTTCCTCGGCCTTTCTTGCTAGTCCACACGAGCGGCTGATTAAAGTCTTATTCCAAGGGACCCCTGGCCTTAATGGAACGCGCTGTCCTTTTTTCTTTCCAGATCGTGACGGAAGTGGACGGGCCAGATGGAAGCGATGCGCCAGCAGGCGAGTTTGGAGAAGCGTACTTCAATTCCTCTAGAAGAGCTGCCCCTTGATCTTGTTGGTGACTTGCGTCATGTTGTGCAGTCGGTGGCAAGAGGAAACGGTGCCGTTCCTTTTCAATTTGGATGTTGGCTTTGGCTGAACCTCCCTTGAAAAACCCTGGAAACCAACGGCAGGTGGTGCTCACTGGAGAAGCCTTTGCAATTCCTCTCCAGTCCTTGGCGAAGGCAGCAGGTTGAACTGGTAACAGGTCAGGCTGTGCTCAGTACTCCAGTTTTAGGTTGAAGGATTGGTTGAAGGTCAGCTTTCAGCGGGTGCACTGGGAGAATCCAATTGCATATGTTTGTGCTCAGACCTTTGCCTGCATTGGGGACATGCTGAGGATGGCTCAATATTGCTCAGGTATAATGTTGTATCATGTTGTATACATATACTGTAAACTGTATGACTATGACTATGACTATGACTATATATGCAGTGTAGCCTACAATGCAAAGCCGATTGCTTCTAGTTCCGATAGTCCAAGGTTTGTACATTTGTGCAGGGCCAACTCACAAGTTCAAGGAGTTCATGGACAAAGCTGCCAAGGACCCGGATGTGTCAGAGTCCTTCGGCTGAATCAACGGGAAACGGCTTGACATTCCTTTTGGACACCCCTCGCCGGAGACTGGCAGACTGGCTGGAGTTCAGTAAAAGGTTAGGTTCTTGGACGTTCTTGAATGCCATACTTGTGACTTGCTTTTGCCCAAGACATGGGCACGTGTGCATTTGTCATGCCACTTCACCCTGTCGGCTTTCCCGAATACTCCCAAAAGATATATAAGTAAAATTGTTTGCCGTTACTGTACCTTTGGTTTTAGTTGAGAATGTAAAGGTTGGCCAAAGCGCTGGAAGAGGCAAGACAAGGCCAGCCGGCAAACATTCAAAATCCTATTGCAATCAGCTAGCCCACCGTGTCCATCCTGAAGCACAGATAGTAAACCAACACTTGGCAGTGCATCTCCCATCTCGACTGAAGGTGTCTACCAGTCTACCATCGCCCCCGGTTTCGTCGCCCAGCGTTCGCAGCTTGGCAGGTGCAGTTCCTCCGTCCGATCTTTTGAAGATGGAGCAGTGTTTCGAACAGCTGATGACGCTGGAGAGGCCATCGGCCGGTGGTTTCGATGGACGGGCTCAAGGGTTCCAAACACCGGTTGAACTGGACCGACATCGCCATTGATTTGAAACTGCTGCGCTAGACCTGGCCATTCATTGGAGGGTGGGTCAAACATATTCCTAGCAATCCTTTTGATGCTTGATTTATGTCACCTGTTGCTAGTGCCGCTAGTTGCCGCTAGTTTTCGATGTAAGCTTTGAAGCCGCTGTGTACTCCTGCATATTGTGCAGGAAAGGCTTGCGCATGTGTGATGCTGCATCCCAGCCATTAGCTGAAGATGGCTGAAGTACAAATCACAATCTCAATCTGAGCAGTGTTCCCGATTCCCGATAATCAGCTCTCAGTTCTTTGTCCCTTTTGCCAGGGCAGCTTTGGGCCTTCTGGAAGCCGTCCAGAGCGGCAGTATCAGGCGGCCTCTTCCAACGATCCAAATGGCCGTGAATTTTTTGAAATCCTTCTCCACAATCAAGTGGATGCCTTGCCCATTGCATTGAAGTGTAGAAGGATTGATTGGATGTGCCAAAAAAAACTATATTTTGTATAATGTCTGTAACATAGTATCATTTATGTCAGGCCCACAACGCAGAGAAGAGCTACATGCTAGTTGATGGCAAACACTTGCAGACACAAGCGACTTTAGACTCTAGACGAATATACTGTAAGTTATAAGAGGTCTCCAAATAACCGGAAAGGGGCTCCAATTTTATTACCTGTTCTATCCGTGGGTTGAGTGATCAGCAGATTACGTTCTTGATTGCTCCTTCCAGGCAGCTCGCTTCCCGCCTCAGCATGGCACGTGAGCTGGGCCTGGAGAACGGGGCTTTTCCAGATGCCACAGGCTGGGGTCACATGGTCACAGGAGCGTTCCGGCGCAGGGATTACCCACTATGGTGTTGGTTGTAGTGGTGGTTTGCTGTATTAGTAGTCAGACATTCAAATGTCGATGTATCAGTCATGTGTCATTAAATGCTCCAAGCGCTGTTTCGTCAGGCTGGTGAGGCTTACAGTTGCATTGTTTCCGTGCTCTCAAAACCGTGTAGTGCTAAGCAGTCTGGATCACCAGGCACCGGCGTGGTGCAGCTTGCAACTGATAAGCTTGAAGAGGAAAAGGCTGGATTTGAGATCATTGGATGTCTTCACACACGCACAAAAATGCCCATTGCCCATTGTTTCTACATTCCTTTGGTATCCTTTGGTGAGATTCACCATCCTCAGGCAGCGGTCCCCTTGCGGCTGGGTGCAGCCTTACAGGCCTTTGCTCGAAAGGACAATAACATCCTGGGTGTTGGAGTGAAACGTGGCATCAACGGCGAAGTAGGTTAGGGTCTTATGTGACATATATGTATATATCCCAGGTTCTTATTCTTTGAGCCATAGCCATTTAGGAGGGTCGTAGTTTGATCTAGTTTGTTCATTAGATTTTTCGTGACAGCATCTTGCCTTAGCGACCTTAATCTGCAAGCACCTGAATGTATAGAGGTGTAATCAGGCGAGAGTGTTGAGTTGGGAGTGACTTCTACTGTATATATATATATGTTATACAGTTACGTTTCTGTACAGCAATCTAATCTGAACCATCAAGCGTCATCATGACCTGCGCTGCCTAACAATTCGTATTGGGAATGCTCCGGGATGACGTTGCTTACCTAGAACTTAAATCTTCTCTCAGCTTCCCTGTCTATAGAAGAAGTGCTTGGTTTTGTTTGCCGGTGTCATTGCCATTTTTTGTCACAGTCCTTAAGTCATGATTGTAGCCCAGCCACGATATTTTTGTGAGTTTCTGGGGAATGTTTTAACAACTGAACAACTGGTGCCAAGGATTGCCTTGCAGCGCTGTATTGATCAGGCACGTGCAGCTGAGATTCAGGACCCCAACCTTGCGCCCCTGGTGACCAAACTTTGAGACAACTTGCAGGTCTAGGACTGCATATTTGAGACTCTTCGTGTTTTGTACACTGGGAGCATTCAGGACCACGCTAAGATCTACAGGGTAGAAGCCAAGCTTCACTTGCGCCCTGGTTGGCATAGTCGCCCACTTATGGTGTGAATACTGCTCACCTTGCATCGCAAATTGCCGTCCAGAGCCCCAGGCAAAGGTGTTGCTTTGCGCTCATGTCATCAGTCAGAATCCGCCCAGGCTTTGCGAGCGCAAGCGCGAGAAACTGGGCAAAGTACTGTACTGACAGCCTTTTGAATCCTTTTGATTCATTTGTTGGAAGAGCGGAGGCCCGCCGGCCCGCCGGTGTGTAAAAGCCACAGCCAATCCATGGCGACGGACTCAGGATTGCGCTCTTGAAGGCCGCCATGGCAGTTGAGGATTGGGAAGTTCAAGATGTGCTGTGAGAGTTCTGACAGGATGAATTTCAGAGCGGCAGCCGCCATGTATTGGCTCAGTGACGCTGCCCAATTTTTTTGTGAAATAAGTATAAGGGCCACCAGTAGCAGATCTTGTATGGATCTTTGTCAGATGCAAACATGTTGGTACTCGATCATAATATAAGAACGGAGCCCAAGTATGTTGAAGCATATTGACGTCCTTGGCCGAGATAAATCACAGGACGCGTGGTTGCTCAAGGCGGCGACAGAGGAGTGCAGGCAACGGTTTGGCGACTCTTTTGGTGCCTTGGCCGGCCTTTTAGAGCTCAAGAAAACGCTCACGTGCAGGTTTAACTGAAATTTCCACCAAAGACCAGTGAGTCATATAGCTCAGGGCAGATCATACTCTTTGAACCGCACCTGTCCATGAAGATCAGTCGTTCTCACCAAAGAACATGCAGAAGCTCACGCGTGTTTGGTGCCATGTGAAGTGAGCATAGCTGGTTCTTTTGGCTCATGTGGGCATGACATGTTGAACGGTGAGTGGGACAGGGACATTGAACCGAACAGAGGGTCTGAATGTCTCGAGTTCTTTGAGGCGTAGACTTGACACTTGCCAAGTACCAGTTGGAGATCTGGGAGAAGGCACAGGAGGAGCTTTGGTTAGCCAGATTGTATGGCAAGATTTTGCCAGGCCACCTAAGATTTGAGGGTGTTTCAGATGTTTTTGTTGCCAATTCAGTGTCAGTCAGGGTTCCCTTTTCTGTTTGCCCCGCAGATGCTTGTTATATATTTTGGCTGTTTGAAAGCCTGTTTCGCAGGATGCGCCCGCCCCACCTCAGGATCGCCGGCCCAGTTGGCTCAGGCTGGGAGGGGAACCCAATCAGGCCTCGAGGAAGTGAAGGAGAGTAAAGTTCGGAGGTTAGCCGTGACCAGAGCAATCACAAAAGGACAGCACACAAAAATGTAAAAACATCACAGGAACGGGTGGATTTTCTTTGCCAATCTTTGCCAGCTATGTCTATATTACTGGCTTTGGACCAACAAAAAGACATTTCATGCGACGCTCCAAGCGTGCGAGGCTTGAAACACAGCCTCGCTCTCATCCTGAGCGAGCTGATGTGCCACCTTTGGGTCCAGTGTCCGTCGAGGATGGCAAGATGTTTTTGAGGGTAGCTGGTGGCTCTCGTGGAATTTCGATGCTTTTGTGGTTGCTACATGTTGCAGACTAGCTACAACATGCTACAACTCCCATAACATAAGGCTTTAGCCGGGGTTTGGCTGGACTCCCCTTTCAGAGACGGCCAATTGGAGGAGAGAGCCAAGGCAGCCTTGCGTGCTGTGATGTTCTATCAGCCTCCGCAGGCGGAAACGGAACCGAACGGAAGGTGATCGACTTGGCACGATGTCAGAAGATAGTCCAATTATATTTACGCGGAATTGCTTTGCGATCAAGGCCGAGCTCTGAAGAATCATGAAACATTTGTTGAATTTTGTTAATGCCACGCAACATCAAGGCCGAGCTCCTGCGTTTGGCCATTGCACGTGCACGTCGAGTGGGTGTTGAATCGGAGCAAGCTGAACAGTTGCTCCAGGAGGAACGTGAGGCAGTCGGGATGTCAATCACATGATCTCACAAAATGTCCCACACTTGGATACTGTACATGCCACAAAATCGAACCTGTCGACTTTGTTGCGCACTGTTCTTTTCTTTCGCGTTGGTACTTTTGTCGGCCAAAATTCGGCGTGCGTTAAGATCGTTAAGAGTCCCATCGATCTCGCAAGAGCAGCTGACGGCTGTGACCTGACCTTCGCAGGTGGAGCGAGCGCTTGAACAGCTGCGCCGGGCGTCAGCCGCTCGAGATGTGCGAGCACTGCGACGGGCCATTGCAGACTGCACCGACGTTCCTTGATCAAAAAGGTCAAGCAGGTGTGAGGTCCGGTAGAGGCCAAACATGTGGGTGCTCCTTGCCGACACAGAAGTAACATCCGATCCACGACAACTGTAGGGATCACAAATAGCATCAGGATCAATCGAATTTAGCCGCTAAATTTGCTTGTTAAGCCTGTTCAGTCGCTGGGCTGGGCTGAGGCTGGAGTAGACCAGCGGGTTTTGATGCCTGCAACGTCGCAGCTTTGTGAAGCTGTGAGTGACACCTGCCTCAAATGCGATTGTGGGGGAGAGGTTAGCATATGTGCGGCGCTTAATTCATGTCACGTGGAGGAGCACAAGCATGTAAGGGATATGCCAAAGAAGAATGTTCAAGACCAAGAATCCTGAGTACCCACATGTCCCATTTGCCAGACCCTCCTGACGGGGGCTATGTTTGCCGCAGGAGCACTGTTCGGGGTAATTCCACGATTTCTTCGGTGACCCCACAGGGTGTTCTCAGGAACTCCTGCGGCGTGCGCATCAGCATGGCCTTTCGCTCGCCATCTTGAATGAGTTAGACAGGGAGCGCCAAGAGGTCCGTTGTGCACTGGCGGAGACACAATGCCGCTGAGCACAGCAGGGAGGAGGGGAATGGTCAACGGATTTCAGTGAATGAGCTGGATGTGGTACAGTATGGTACAGTACCGTAGACAGTAGGGTTCGGATTGACGCTCAATGACTGGACAAGCCCACATCCTCACATTTGCACCAAGCGTTAAAGGCAGGTACACTGTAATTCATTAAACACGGGATCCATTCAAAAAGACAATGTCTTGATAATCTTCCTTGTGAGTGAGTGTAGCGTGTCGACAGTCTTGTCGACTTATGTTTAAGATATCAATATGCGGGGAGTTGTTGAGGTTGCGTTGAGGACATGCTCTATTTATGCTTATTTCACCATTGCGGCGGCTAAGGTGGTCTTCGTAGCATTTGCCGAGTACGGCCACCCTTGGCCCAGGAGTTGCGTGAGGCCTGGAGAATGAATGCAGGCCTTGCTCCTGTACTGAGGCGCGGGCCAGAACTGCTCAGAAATTCAGAGACACGAAGGCCCTAAAGACTTCGTATCACAACTTGGCTGTATCATGCTGCATCGCTTCCCAAATGAAGATCGAAACCCAAACAAATGAACACATAACCTCCAAAACACCCAACGGAGCAACTCAATTCTCGAAGGTGACAATCTTCTCAGCCTGTCGTCGTACTATGTACGTCCATTTTTCCATCTCAGGCGAGTTGATCGACGCACCTTGGAGGCGCGGAACCGCCCGGGAAAGGAGTTGACCGACCCGTCAGTGCCGCATTGTTCTGCCTGGATGCAACCCAGTTTGGTCCTCAACATGATCCTCTCTCTTTTTGGAAGAGCCGGCCATGCATTCCCATTATGCATTGCCATGCATGGTGATAGGTTACCTTGGATGGCAGCTATGTGACCTGTGACTTCAGCGCCGTGCTCGGGCCAGAGAGCACCCAGGTGGGAGGTTTGTTCAGTTACCTGGACGACACTCGATTGCCAGTGTCGTCTAGTTGATCATTGCTTCAACTTTTGCTCCCTGGACGTTTCAGGCCGAGACCTACGGGGAGCTCACAGGTTTTGCTCAAGCAGCCCTGGATGGCCGCGATGTGGCCATCATGGCTTGTGGTGCTGGCCCTGGGGCGGGCACAAGCTACACATTGTGCCTTGGGAGATTTTTGGAACGCCGAGTTTCTTCTAGTTTCTTCATGCCTCTTTCAATCTCGTGGTGTTGCGGGCCAGGCCCCCCCGCAAAAAAAGGACACATGAAAAACGCATCCCAAAATAGATCATAGATCGTAGCTTTACCAGACAGTTCACCTCTTTATCTACTTGTGGGGGGTCACTGTGTCCTATTTCTTGTTGTTTGTTCCGGGGGCGCTCAGAAAGGTGTGGAACTGCTGAGCAGCCTGGAGTGGTACCCAGGCTACTAGAGGAACTGTTTGCGATGAAAGATCGGGAGCTTTGGCGTTCAGAGATTCACTTCGATCCTTGGCCGCCACGAAGAAGTATAGTAGAGTGCAAGAAGGGCCTGCATTGGCCCTGGTGTTTGCCAAATGTTCGATGTTTTCAGATGTTTTCCGTTTGGCTATCGTTAGCTTTTGGTTTCTCCACAGACCTCGCGTAGTTGAGCCATGTTAGAGCCGCCCAGGATGTGCAGGCCCTGGAATTTGTGGAAGACAAGCCGCCGACTGATCTTCTGACCCCCGATGGCTGCTTCCTGGAACAGATTCACGCCAAGAGACCTTGCTACAGCCAAGGCAGGGGGTAGAATCCGGGTAGAATCCGGTAGAACATGTGGACCTCATTTGGAAGGAAAGCCCACTTGTATCTACTTGTTTGAGTGCTTGCCTAGGAGAATTGTATAGGAGTTGTGTTTTTTTGTAATTATTCACTCTGGCCCTTTGATAGGTATTGTTTGAATGATCATGTTTCAACGCGCAGAAAGAGCAAACAAGTAGAGTGACATATAAATCAAGAACACGCTTGAGGCCAAGGGATGTTTGCTCCAGTGCAGTTGGAGGGCGCAGCAACACGTCGTGCCGCCAAAGTGCAAGAAGTGAAAGACTTGGCCGAGGTGGGACGCTTACCCTATATGATCCTATATGATCCACCATCAGCAATTTTAGCAATTCTCCATGGCACATGATGCTCACATGGTTTTGTAATCTAAGCGGTTTCCCGGAATGGATGCCTTGGATCCTCCATTGCCAGGAGATTTGGCAAGCGCCTTGCCACGCTGATCGCCAAGCAGTGCTGATTCTCCACATTCGAAGGACCAATCGCCATACAGGCACGACAGTCCGCGAACGCCTCTGCTTAGTGCAACAACCCGTTGGTGAACCTGGCTCGTTGTCCTTCGTGGACATCCTAGAAACAATGTTGTGCATCAATGATCAATGTACATGTACATCAGGTCTGCGTGTTTTTGCACGCAGTGGTCTCACTTTTGTGTCTATATTATATCAGCTTCGTGAATGGACTTCATGTCCATTCGTCAGCCAGGCTACTGCATGCATCAACTTGCTGCGTGACGGTATTGAACAAGACTCTAATTGAAGCATATTGAAGCTTGCGCTCGATCAGAAACTGCACCACCAGCGCATGACCACCCAGTCGTGCTTCAGATTTGCTAGGCGTCATGATTCGAAGCCGACTGGTCGTCGCTGACCTTGCCGGCAAGCGTCCAGCAGTCCTTGACCGCACTGTGAGCCAAGCAATTGCAACGTCAGTTGCCCGGCAGACTTGGCTCATTTTGCCCGAGACCGGCGTGTAGTACAGTGTAGCAGCATGCTATTGCATCGGGTTGTATTTCAGGCTTGCTTCTGGACGTTTTGAGTTTGCAAGTCTAAGTGATCGAGGCGACTAGTTCTGACTTCTTTGAGTTTGATTCCAATAGTACTTCCGGGAAGCCATTGCAAAGAAAGAAACTGCAGACTAATAGATGATTTGGCCACAGAACGTCCTTCGAAAGTATTAGGTTGCACTACGCCGCAAGAGCAGCGGCATTGCGATGTCCACCTGGTCCCTTGTCGAAAGACACAGTTTTGGCACCTCGAGGTTCCTCGATGTAGCCTAGTGGTGTAGCCTATTGAGCTCAAGTCTAACATCCACCGAGGTCAGCAACAGCTGCACCCGAGGCAGCTCCACAGGGCTCTGGTAGCCAGGCCATTTGCAACAACGTTTGAGGAGCGTGGAGCCTGTGCAAGTTCAAACAAACTTCAGAATGCATAATAGATCTTTTTGTAATATTTAATGTAGGGCAATCCAGCCCTAATTGGATTGAAACATGCACCAATGCGTGCAATTGCGGTCATTTGTCTACTTTTTGTCTAATGCAATCGCAGCATCATTTTTGACCACACCCGAAAGGACCCCTGACCACATCATAACCTTTGCTACCAGGTCTTGACCACGCTGCTTCTAGATTGCTTCAATGCTGACCGAGCTCGGATCGCGCTGGTGATCTGCTTGCCCCCCACAGCGCCGGACAGGGAGAAAGTGCTCAGCGTTCTGGAGGCAAGCACATTGCAGCGGATTCCTTGCATATTGCTGGCTGTTTGTGTGTTTGTGGCAACCCTGTTTGCTTCAGACATGTTTGTCCGGCTTGTTTGCCTCTTTGCACAGCAGGCACTAGGCTTGCGACAAAGTTGGGTGCAGACTGCCGAAACTCGTGCCACAGCTTGCATCTGGATTCGTTTTCTGGATGTTCGCTATGAAGTTCACTTTCAACCACTCCAGTTTGTTTGCCAAAGTAAGTGGCCACACAGGAGCCGGCCTTGAGTATTTTCGCCGCCAAGGTGCAGAAAAGCGATTTCAAGCACCACCCCAGCCCATCGAGCTGCCGGGCATACCGAAATTGCCACCTTCGCCCGTGCCTCTTGGCGAAGCTTGTTACTTTGTTGCTTCTTTTTAAAACCAAATCATCTTTGCAAGGGGTGCAGAATATTTCAGGCTTACTTAGCCAATGACGGGACTTGTCCGTTCCTTTAGCAACCCTGAATTGCAAATGGCCAGGTTTCTAATATGCTCTTTTTGCATGTCCCGACTGATTTCACAAGGCTTCTGCAGATGACATCCTCACCCGCACGGCTCTCAAAGACGGATCAGGTCAGGTTTGGATGTGCATGGGGTGTCACGCTCGGAAGCTTGAGTCACCAATGACAGCAACCGAAAGTAGTTCAGAAAGTTCAGAAGATGCCTTGGATACATCATGAGCTCAACGAACACGGTCATGATGCTTTTCCTGCCTCAGTAGCACCATGCCAGTAGATTGGTACTGACCAATTGATTCCAAGGCCTCCTCTCCCAAAAATTCTGGGACGCGGCTCAGCAGCAGTTCCATACACTTCGCCGTCACAATCCGGGGATGATCGAGGTCCATCACAGACTAAAGCCGCAGTGACGCCACTGAAGACATTGTATAGCAAAAAAGCACTTGAGCAATCACCCAGTCTTCTTCCCAGTGATTCTACTGACGAGTGGCTGGCAAGGACCACCTTTGCCTTCGAATCGAAACTGGCTGAAGAGGACCTGTGAAGCCGAGCGAAGCCAAGCGAAGCCGCGAAGCCGAGCTGCGAGCGGTTTGTGCCATGCCTGGCCTAAGGCCGAGCTGCACGGTTTACTGTACATTCTTTTGCACTCGTTTCATGCTGAGATCCGGGAGAGGTAATACACCAGCAAACAGGAAAGTCATGACAGGCTGTATTGACGTAGTGGCAAAGATGATTATACAGATCTTTGGCGCCAAGGTGGGCTCAACTTAGTTCCTGCTTTGTAACCTTTCAACTTTCAACCCGCCTTGGATTCTTGAGGATCCTGGCAGAACACGAGTGTTCAAACGATAGGTCCTGAGATGTGTTGAAGCACCCGGTTGTGCCACTCTTGTACCTCAAAGCACCTCTACATGCTATGCTGGTGCTTGAGCTATGTTCTCAGGCTCAGAAAGCTTTGTACATTGAAGTGGGTCTATGACCCCAAATGACCCCAGAGCTTCGCAACCCTGGGCCACGTTTGGCAGTTGCTTTATCCTTTGGGGTGAATTCATGGTGTAGAATCCGCATCATGGTCTCACCTGTGGTCCTGCAAGTGTTCAAAACATTCCACAACTCAAGTTTAGATGTTTTGAAGTATGTCTTGAATATGTCTTGAGGTGCATGGTAGAGGCTAATCAGCATGCGCCCTGGAAAGTAGTCCCGATGTCGACTATTAGTGGCTGCCTGCGTTGCTTGCGTGCTTTTGTGGCTCAAGCTGTGCAACAGCAAGCCAAAATTTGTTGATGTGCATTTCTTGTGGCACCTTAAGGCATTGAGGGGGTTGATCGTTTGGATCGTCAAAGGTTTCCGAACCAGCAGGAAATTTGCCCGTCCTAATGTGTTGGGGGCCAAATCTGCCTTTTGCGTGCCTGTGATGGCCCTTCATGTCGAAGGGACGTGGTCAATGTGCGGCCAAGGGTAAGAGCTATGAGAAGGGCCGAACCTCTGGAAAAGGCCAGGCCCTCGAACACAAGACGTATGGTATGTGCTTTCCTTTTTTCCTCATTTTTCCTAATGTTATGGTATGTTTGCAAACCGATGTTTGGGATTGGAACGGTTAGAGGCGTTCATTGCAAACAAGATTCTGAGAAAGAAGGGGATGCCTTGATCAAGAATGGTGCTGCCGCGGGGGGAACGGGCCCCTGGATTTGGGGTCAAACGTTGTCAAGTTGTACGGGAGGTTATAGGCTCGGCTGCAATAGTTTGGGGCGCACCGCAGAAACATGAGATACAAAATGCAGGCCTCTCCGAAAGTTGCCAGCATCTTTCTACTATTGCGATGTTGGGTGATTTCATGTATATTGTGTATACTGTATATATATATATATATCGTAATTTAGATTAATTTAGTACATACAAAAAAAACCAATTCAGAAAAGCCATTCAGAATGAACCAGATCTTTGTGAGGGTGGGTTGTGGGGGTGTACACGCCCTAGCCCTATCCGTTCCTTTCCCATATTAGGCAATTTTGTCATGTCCAATGTTCGGTCTCGAGGTCCACCTCTTGATGACTATTTCGAGTTGAAATCCAGCAAGGCTGAAACGAAACACATGGTCTTCAAGTAGTCTTGAACTTGGCGCCAGCTTGTCCCACACTGGAACAAAAGGCTTGCGGGAGAGGTCACGCTTGGAGAAGAAAGCAGAGATGAGATCTTGGCACTGATTGCCCAATTCCGACAAGGCCGTGGGTTTTACAGCTTGAACGATCTTGTCGGAGGGCACAAACGATCTTGTCGGAGGGCACAAGAAGTCGCGTGATGGCGGACGTGAGGCCCAAAGCCAAAGAAGGAAGTTAAGTCAGATGGCATCCCTGACATGCCCATTTTGTTGCTTGCAGTCATTGTCACAGATTCATTTTGAGGGCCTTGACCTCCTTTTCCTTTCTAGACAAGAGGTCAAGGCGAAAAGGAGGATGAGAGGGGTGAGAGCTCCGAAGAGATGGAGGAGGTGCCCCACGGTTTCCAGCGCATGCATGTCACGTGTTGCTTTGCAGCACGGAGCGAACAGGATCCGTTGATGTCGAATCGCGAAAAGCGAAAGCAGCAGATCCGTCCGACACCTAGGATCGTTGATCTAATCTTGTGATGTTAACCATGTCCAACACGATCTTTGTCTATCTTTGTACTGAAAGGCCTCAAGAAGAATCTCATGAAACAGCTTCTTGAGGAAGACAAGCGGGAGGCCTGCGACGCCAAAAGCTTTACAGTCAAGTGAGAGATGGTTCAGTTCTGTTCGATTGGAGGGTTTTAATATTCTGCTTTGTGGAACATGACGTGACAGGCAGGCGAAGAGAAAGGAAGTGCCTTGGATTTTCAACAGGGATGCAACATGAATGACATGCTGCGCGTGAAAGTGCTTTTCGGCATTTGTTCACACTTGTTCCCTGTTTATTGAAGCAAACTCACCCCAAGCGGCACAAGCTTTGACATGTTCTTACTGAGTCTTTGCAACTAAAAAGTTTTGCAAAACCTGGCCACCCATCGGATGATGGAAGCGGCCCAACCGAGGGAAGACCACGGTGAACTCAAAGCCGGACTCCTCGCATGTCCAGGCATCGCCAGATAATTGGCATCATCAGATGGCATTCAAGCGAAACTCCCAAGACCCAAGTCGGGTTTAGTGTAGACGGCCAGGGATGTTGTGACACGATAGACGGCAGGTGCGTGTTTTCTATCGAGATGTGGCCTGGCTGCTTTCAGCTGATGCCATTCCATCAGAATGTAGCTTTTTCCATGAGACAATCGACCGACGCTGCTATCGACAATCGACTGTGGCTGCGTAAGTTGCTAAGGAAAGGAAGCCAAGTGACAAAAAGAAAGGGCCTGAGCTAATCCGGAGAGGTGCTGCAGATGCAGTGAAGGTGCCAACGACCGCTGAGCTTTGCTTTGCGCCATGCCAGGGGCTTGTGGAGCTTGTGCTGATTCATACGATTGATTAGATGTGCTCTTTGATGCGTTGATTTGCTTGGTGAGGAGTTCTTGGAACTGGCCTCTTGGCATAGATCATCTCGTTGTTTCGCTGTGGGTTGCTGGGGTGAAGCCGGTGAAGCCAAGGCCAAAAAGAAACTGCAGATCAATGGGAAGACGCTTGGCTGAAACAACTACAGTAACCGAATCAACTTTGCTTTGCTTGTTGTGGTTCGCCGGTGTCCTTTCACAAGCTGTGATTTGCCACTGGATTCGTTGCCCTGCCGTTGGGTTTGTTCTAGTTGCGGCTGATGGAAGCGGCTCCAGGAAAAAACTGTGGGCCTACAAGCAAGGCACGCCAGTTTCCAATTTAGCAGGAGTTAGGTACACATGTTGTGTGACACAGCTTCCTGTCCTGATTCATCCTGAGGCGAAATGCAGACCCCACTAGTTCAGACCTTACATGGGACAGTCATGGGCAGGCCAACTCCTTGTGCATGACAACAGGGATGGACTGTGGCAATGGCATGGCAGAAGTGCACCCGTTTCAGCCATTGAGGGACGCCAAAAAAGGGGAAAGTCAAGCGAGGGATTTTTCGTCAGAAAACTGTCTAAGTACAAAGTCAACAACTTACTAGCAGCGCACATCCTGTCGCGGGAGCACATCATGATTCAACCAAACCGAGAAAACCTGCAAAGCAGTTTCAACCAGAACGTCGTGACTTGGAAGTGTGCCATGGAGAACGGAAAGGAGAAGAAGTCAAAGAAGGAGAAGATCCGACGGAAATGCTCATAGCATGTCAGGTTTGCTGATCGACATAAACATCGGCCCTGGGAGGATAAGAAAGAGAAAAAAGCCAAGAAAGAAAAGAAACACAAGAAAGACAACAATGATGAGGACGGCTGTTGAGCTCAGACTGGCCCAATTGTGACATGCGGGCCAATTGAATGAGAATTGAATGACATTTTATCATCCAGGAGACGCGCGGAATTACGGAAGTTGCTTTAGTTTCCTCGAGAAATTGTGCATCCTTAGTGCAATCTAGCCCAAGCATGTTTCTAGATGTTTGTAGTGATTCTAGTCTTAGTGCAGTATTCATTATAGAAGATATGACTCGACCACTAATCCCGAGTCCGAGTACCTATCTAAAAACGGACCCCTATTTAAAAAGTCATGTCGGATCCCCCAAAATACGGTTTATATGTGCCTTTAAATTGCCGCTCTTTCAAGCCGCTACTAAACTACCAACATCGCCGATTTTGGAGGATTTTTTTTTTGTAAAATATTATGTTTTCCAAAAACAACCGCAACTGCCCACCTCTGTCCGCCCTGTCTATCCACCATGACACGGCGCGTTTACACCAGCAGGTCTTCCTTCCCGCAATGGCACGGACTCACGCAAACGCACTTGCCACCGAGATCAGACAAAACCGCATGGCACGCCGACATCACCTTTTGAAAGCTTTAGTTGTTAGTCTAATGAAGAGTCTATTATAAAGTTTTTTTTAAGGGGAAAAGGAAGACCCTTCGATCTGGAGGTTGTCTGATTTTTTGATACGGGGCTAACATATTTTATATAACATTTTCCTGGATGTCTTTTTGGTTTTGAGGCTCTTCCCAGGTGACCCTATTTTGGACCCCCCCGACTTCAGGGACCCCCTATTTAAAAAAAATAGAAAAATGCGACCGAGGCTTCCTGGTTAGGCGGGGCGCGTGTCTTTTTAATAGGTGGACAGGATTACTAAAAGGTGGGCGATGTTCTGCTTGAACAGGGCCGCAGCAAATAGAAGATTGACTTCGTTACATGCCTGAAATATATGTAACAGGTATGTCCCTACTAGTTTAAGGAAGGAAGGCACTTTGCTCCTTCATTTTTTCCTCTGGCAATTTTTTTCGGAATTTTCTACGCCTGGCCTTTCTTTCTCTCCGTTGCTTTCATTTCCTCTTTCCAGCAGGTTTTCTTGGCTTTCCCATATCCATCCCTTTTCCTTGTTCCTTGTTGAACTTCGCTGGTGCATATAGAAGATAATCTCCCGTCCGTTCCCTTCCTTTCTTTTCGTGTCCTTTCCTTTTTCTCCACGCTTGCCCTTTCCTTTCCTCCTTTCTTCCCATTTCCCTTCCCCCTTCCCTTTCCTGCCTCTTCTCCTTCCTCCATTCACCTTTCCCCTTCTCTTGTGCCTCTCCCTTTCTTTTCCTTTTTCCTTTCCTTATTTTTCCTTTCCTTTCCTTTTTTCCTCCCATTTCATCAATTTTCACTTCCCCTTTTTTTTTCTGCGTTCCCCTTGTCTTTCCTCTCTTTTCCTTTATCTTCTATTGGAATTGCGTCTGGCAATTCTTTTCCGTGTTTTCAACTCCTGACATTCCTTTCCACAATTCCTCTCATGTTGTTTTCTTTCATTGTTCCTAGTTGAACTTCGCTGGTGCATATATAGAAGATGAATCTCCCGCCCTTTCCCCCTTCCTTTCTTTTCGTACTTCTTTTCGTATCTTTTCCTTTCTCTCCACGCTTACCCTTTCCTATGTTTTTTCTTCCCATTTCCCTTCCCCTTCCCTTTCCTGACCCCTTTCCCTTCCGCCTTCACCTTTCTCCATTCTCCCTTCCCCCTTGCCTTTCTTTTCCTTTTTCTTCTAATTGAATTGCCGTTGGCAATTCGCGCTGGTGCATATAAAAGATAGTCTCCCGATGTCTCCCATCCTTTCCCCTTCCTTTCTTTTGGTGCCCTTTCCTTCCTCTCCCCGCTTGCCTTTTCCTTGCCCCTCCTGTCTCCTGTATAATCCTATCTCCATTCCTTTTGTGGTGCTCAGAGGAGAGAGCAATCTGATATTCCCAACCAGGTTTTGTTGTCGAGGAGGTGAGGTCAGGGTTTTAGTCGGCGCTATAACACGGCCTAATGCGGACCTGACCCGGAACCCCCCAAAAATGATGATCTTCTTATTGAACACTATATATTCTTATCTGTCTTATCTCATATAATAGTGCACCTTACCCGCCACATTTACTTAAGACAGTGACACGTTTGTGAGAAACACCACGTGTCTGTAAACGTTTTGAAGCTTATTTACGAAGACAAATAGTGAACTGAAGCTGCCCAGTTGTTTTCCATGTCCAGTTTGCAGTCTCTTGAGGCCGTATGTATGGGTGTGACATTCCAACCCATCCCACCCCACCCCACCCCACTCTCAGCCAGTCGCATTGTGTAGCATAGCGTGGAGGAGATTGTGAAGTATAGCAGAAAAATAGCTAAAGGGACCAACCACGTTTCTGAGCTTCTGGAGGACCCTGCAAGGCTGATAAACCAGTGGGGGAGGGACAGGATGCCAAATAATTGCCCGTACACAGCGTGGTTGGAATCCCCCTTCCAAAGATTCACCCACAGCAAGCAATGGTAATGGTTCATGCCCGCATCGCCTTTCCAAATTGTTGTCTGTTTATCAGAAGTTGACTGACTCTTTGCTGAACAGTGCTGGGGGGGCGCAAGCACCCAGACGAACGCTTTTAAGGTGTTTGAAAAATCGAAGGTTGCTGTAGATATGAACAATTCAAAATTCCAGACGGTTTTTCAAGACGTATGAGTGCACATGGGTAGAAACACAGCACGCGTGTAAGTATTTGGCCCACCCACCCACCCGAACCACCCCCTGAAGATACATGTAAACATCTTGCCCACGCAGCCATCCGAAGCACCCCTTGAGAGACACATGTGTGCGCAACACAACATGCAAGAATCTTGTGCACACGCGCCCGAAACACCGAGTACAAGCGAATGCGCGACGAAAGCCCTTGGAATAGTGGAACAATTCTGAAACCGTAATTACAATGTGTTTTATATCGCACGACAAAAACAGGCGCGACAAATACGCGCGTTCGTCTCGCAAATGTTCTCAACAATTCCCAAAACACGCAAATTACGCAGGAAAATACACGTAAAAAATACAATTGTCTTAAACAAGACCGTTTGGATATATATATATATATTGTATATTGTCATTGCTGTGCACTTTTACAGCGTGGTGGCACCGCGACCATGTTCCGCTAACTTAAGTCCCCTGAATCTTTCAACACCCTTGTTTTTGGCTTTAGATCTGCAATGAAACACTTTGAGCCAACTGTTTGCAACCGGATTGCACGACCCAGACCCGCCGGACAGAGAGTGCTGCTATTTAATGCTATTTATATAATTTGTTGCATGGCATGTGCCCCGTGAAGAGAAGGTGTGAACGGAGGTGTCCTACGAAGCCTGGATGACAAAAGAGTTTTGATAAGCCATGGATGGCAGATTCAGCACAAGACATGGACGAAGCGTTGGAGGTAGCAGTGGCCAGCTGTACTGAGCTTTGTGACAGGTGTTGCACGTTTGATGCACAATAAGGCTGGCATCACGGCAGACTCAAGAACTGCCCCATCTCCCCATCCCCTGCGTACTCCAGCTGTTTTTTTCCAAACCGCGATTGAAGTCCATGCAAGGAAGGAAATCGGTGCACGAAGGGCAAGTCTTGTAGGGCTTCTGAAGGGCGTCGCCCAAAGCATCCCTTACTCTCCAAATCGCTGCGCTAATCAGGTGGCCTTTTGCACTGAAGGGGGATGCCACCAGTGTGCTCAGCACCGTTCGCCGCACGCAGGACATGGAGCCAGAGGAGCTGTTCGCAGAGACTCCCAAGCTGGCTTCCCCATCACCTGACCGGAAGAAGGACCAAAGATACATGGGAGAACGGAGAACGGCAGCGTGTTGCTATACGTTGGTATGTACAGCAGTTTGTAGCTTTCCATTTATAACTATGTAGGATGACGTGCATTGGCACCAGGACAAAAAGGATAAGGATAAGAAAGATAAAAAGGAGAAGAAGGACAAAAAGGAAAAGACGGAGGCCGTGCACAAGATTGCGCTTGAGGTTGCAACGAGACTTGTACTGTGTTGTACTGTGTAGGTAATTACTAGTAATGCAAGTTTCAAGCTGCCTTGCAATGTCCAGGAGCCTTTGATGGAAGATTTGTTTGGAGTCTCTCCGAGCCCAGCTCCTTTACAGCAGGATGTAAGGACATCGCCTGTGGCCGAGCCAGCGGCGGAAGCTCATGAAGAGAAAAAGAAGGACGGCGCTTGATGAGCCTTGTGGCTGGTAGAACAGGTAGGAGGTGGCCACTTGCGAACAAGTACAAGTATGCTGGAGGTTCATTATGTTCGTTGGAGTTTTGCTAAGAGGACGTTAATTGATGTCAGGACAGAGTTTGTAGACTCATAGACCTGGATTCCAAGCGTTGTAATGACGCCGATCTCCTTCTGAGTTGAAGGACAAAAAAGAGAAGAAAGACAAGAAGGATAAAAAGGAAAAGAAACGGCTGAAGGCTCAGAATGCATTTTGGCAGCACGTATGATGGACCTCCTTCTGACTGGGTTGGTTTGTGCAATCGTGCTTTTGCGCGTGTTTCTTTTTCACCTTGCTAACATTGCAT